CTCAGCCCAGCCCCATCTCCTGGCAGCCAGAGGGGAGAGCACCGGGACAGCCTCAGTCTAGCCCAACCCCTCCTCTACTCCGGCAGCCAGAGGAAGAGCCAAGCTAGCCACAGCCTTGGTTCAGCCCACCCCCTCCCCCAATCAGCGGCCAGAGTGGAGAGAGCTGGGGCAGGCCAGGGCCGCTACGCCTCGACCTGGCTCTCCCTAGTAGCCGACCCCCAGAGAGTGGGGTTGGTGAACATAGCAAGCACAGGGCACCGCACCCTACTAAGTTTTTAAAACAAAATATCCTATTGGTCAGCCAACCTACTTTCTCCACTAAGGTCGACAGACAGAATTGCTCTTGGATACTGGTATGAAGTGTTCTTCTCTGTAAACATGCTTCGCAGAGTCAATGAGCTACCAGAAGACCGCGTGAGTGGAGAGGAGCACCTTTCCAAAAAGTCAATAGAACTGTCTTCATAATCCGAATAATCTACTAAATAAAATGCATGATGGTTACTTGATGTTATATTTCACAAAAAAGTATGTCTGTAAGAATGACAACTTAAGAAAGTTATAATAATAGGTGCCAAAGACAAAGAATATGCATGAATGTATAAATACCAACATGAAGGGAAACGTAGTTCATCACATAAACCCTTAAACTGTCTTATTTTATGCATGTTTTCAATGTAACCAATATTAAGATTATGGTTACCAAGTTAAGCAGGAGAGCCAAAAAACTGAAGTTAAAAATTTCACGCATGACTTCAATTCCTCTTTTATGCTCATACATTGCACGAGACTAATTATATAGATTTTTCATTTCATACATATGTGATTGTGAGAAAGTACCTTGTAAGACTACAAAAAAGAACAAAAGAGAAAAGGAAAGAACGAACAAGCATTGCACTATATCCATAATCAGATTTTTGATTGATTTGCTTTCTTTTGTCAATTATTTTTTCTAACAAACAGTATTCTGTGTAAGTCACATCTTACAAGGTTTTCACAAACCATGCTTCATCATCATACAGTTTTTAACTGCCTTCCCATGCACAACCAACTAGTATCCTTGTAGCAACTGCAGTAGACTTATATGGAAAATAAAATTAGTGCTCTAGAGATTATGAGCCCCAGTTCTTCTTTTGACATTTGAGGAAACCAGGATCCTTTTTGTCTCACATTCCTCTCCCGCTTCCCAAATGTCATGCCTAAACCTGTCCAAATGTCTGTTGCTAAGATGATCTTCCTTTTCCAACATATTATCTTTGTCCATTTTTTAAAATATTCCCAATTAAGCCATGAACCTGAGGTCTGCTGAAGGGTTATGAGCACATCTCTGTACATTTTAATTATTTTTTTACAAGATAAAATACTTCATTTTCAGAGATGCAATACGATACAATATCATGAGAGTAACCCTTCCCTCCAAATTAGCAAGGGGAGAATTTTAACGAGCTTTGAGGTTTGGATAAATGTCCAGTTTAGATGCATCTCTGAAACAAGGTAATCCTTACACAATTTTCAATCATCTGTTTCCATCCTATTGGTGACAGAGGTTTTCAAACTCTGGGTCACAGCTTGTAAGCGTAAGCCATTAGCTGGCTGTGAGATGCTTTATTTTCCTGAACCTCCGCAGGTACAAGCTATCACAACTCGCGTTAGCTGCAGATCACCATTCCCGGCCAAGGGGAGCCGCAGAAAGTGGTGCAGACGGGGACGCCGTTTCTCATAGCTCCCATTGGCTGGGAACAGTAATCTGTGGCCAACACGAGCTACGATCATCCATACCTGCAGAGATATCAAGTAAACAAAGCGTCTTGAAGCCAGCTAGTGGCTTGCGCTTACAAGCCGCCACCCAGAGTTTTAAAACCCCTGTTCTACAGCATCTCCCACACATTCTGTAGCCTTAGAATCCTATTTCCTTTCTCTATAAGTGATTCACTACTAAATATGAGCTACATCTTGAGACCCAGGATCAGTGACAACAAGAGGGACTGCTGCTAAGATGATCTTCTGCATTGTCTTGAGATGGTGTGGTGTGGATTTTTTTTCCACAGGGTCACCAATGTATAGCAGCATATCCATCTCTGGTGTAACAAATAATACTGAAATAAATCATGACAAGAGATTCTTTCATCTTTAGCTTTCCACATCTTTCGGTGCACAGGGAGCCTATCAGTTTTCACCATTTATTTTGGTCTTCTGATGGTCTGCTCAGGCTTCTGAGTGTCATATACTCTCTGTTGTTCTGCATAAAGTTTCTCTAGGTTGACCTTTTTTTCCTCTTTCCAGGTGGTGTCTATATGATCACTTGCAAAGGAAGTCATGTTGCTGACATCCTCAAAGTGTATATAAAATATGCCCATCATTGTCTTACCATATTTGATAGATTGGTTTATTTTACTTTGAATTTCTGTTGGTGCAAGAATTACTTTCCAGTGAACTCCGATGACCTTCCACAGACATTTACTTACAAATGAGTTATTTTCTTACCAATTTCTAGTGTAGATTTCCTTGACTATGCTCCATTAAAGAGGACAGAAATCATCCTGGTGTTAAAATTTGTGGTTTTATGTCAGTGCTATTACGCTATTTTTCCATATTGTTTATGAAAGATATTTTCTGCTTTTGATATTCATTGCTTGACATTTAGCATCAATGACAAGAGAAATCTAGACATTTGAGTAAACAAAATAAATGTAGAAAATATAAAGCCTATTTGGTACATCGAGTATTAGCAGGCTTTCACCTAAACAAAACTGCTTTTTCATTTGTCCAACTTACGCTACAGCTATCCTTTCCTATGTAGCGTGCATGAATGATAATCATCATTCCTTTATTGCAGATGACAGAATATCCTTCTAGTCCAGGGATAGGAAACTTCAGGCCCAGAGACCGGATGTGGCTCCTGACTTGCCTGGATCTGACCCCCAAGGCTCAGGGCCCTCCCCAGTACTGAGGAGCCTGTGCTGGTGCTCCAGCTCTCCCCGCGCGTTGCCTCTTTGCAGGGATGGAGCACACAAAATCTACTACACTGGGCCCCCTTTAGGCTGTGGTATGCAAAAAGAATATGGGGAGTGTTTTCTTCCTTCTCAATCGGCAGTCATGTCAGTGAAGGGTTTTTTTGTTTTTGTTTTTTTGGGTTGTTTGTTTTTTGCTTAAGAACAGCCATACTGGATCAGAGAAAGGCAAGAAAAATAAATGGTATCATTAAATGCAAAGTCCAAATAAATTAATGGTAAACAGGTATTTTGTAAAAAATGGGTCTCTCACTGCAATGAAGGAAAGATCAGAGTTTTGGCCATTATTATTATTATTTGTATTACCATAGCACCTGGGAGCAACAGTCATCGACTAGGTGCTGCACAAACACAGAAGAGGACAGTGCTTGCTCAAAAGAGCTTACAATATAAGTAGAAGAAAAGAATAGATAAAATGGTAGCGTACAAGGAAACAATGTGACAAAATTGGCAGCAAAACAGAGATCTCAGCACATTAGTGTCCTAAAGTTTTGCCATAAGCAGCAAGCAAAAGTAGCTTTAAAGGAGAATAATGAGTTGGTTTTGGAGATGTTTATGGGGAAGCTTTTTCCAGTCATGAGGGAGCTCTCAAGGCTGTTCCCCACACTGGCATTTTGAGTGCAGAAGGTGGGGGCTGCAAGAGACTAATACTCTGCCACTAAATGCTTCTATTTAAAAACTCCCCAGGTCATAGATTTCCTGACATTGGATGGTACACTGCTACCACTCAAATGTAAAACCCTCTTTGAAAACCCAGGAAGATGCATTTGGGAATTCCTTCCAGTGGAGACCCTCAAGATCTTACAGCCTCCCTCTGGAGAGAGTTGGGGCGGGGGGAAGAAGGGAGGAACCTTCTTAATTCTCTTTATAGCTGACCTTTCAATCTTAAACCCAGGAACACAGAACTTCCTACCTTCTAGGACACAGGAATCAGACCACCTTAAAAGGTGATTTTATTAACAGAACAAAGACGACTTACATGTTAAAACAGTACTGGGTTGCTAGTTGTTACAGAGCAACAGAAAAAAGGCAAGATTAAAGATGCAGAGAATTGGCTCTCTGGGATTCAGTTTAAAAGTTACAGCATAAGGGGAAAGCACTGAAGTCCAACAAACCTAAAAATAATAATAAAAAAAATAACCTGATTGTGTCTGACTAAATAGTCCCTGTTTTAC